ACCCAGGAACCTTCCGGAGCATGATTGAGCAACAAGATCCCGATCGATGCTTTATTCACTTCGGCAACATTGTCTCCAACTGGCGCTGTAATTTCATCCACCAAGAGCTTGGAATCTTCGACCGGGAGGTCAACCCAAAGAACCTCCGCTTTGGGTTTTCCCCGCATGCAGAGTGCGGCTGGAAGTCACCCGAATGCGCCTCGCTCGCTCTCAGAGCTTTTTTACACAATTACCGCCGAGGCTCGCTGGACAGGTACCTCTTCCCTGGGTTAAAGCTCACGCCGGACCGATCTCGGTTCAGTATCAACTTCATGCTGATGGACATATCCTTGATCGACTTGAAGCGTCTGCTAGAGCTGGGACCAATCGGTGACGATGAAAAGTGGTGGACCCAGCTGTACTCTGCTAACGTCCCGAACCCAAACTGCATAGTTGGATCGGCATTTGTGGTGCACTTCTCCTACTACACAACTTTTGTCGATATGATGAAACTGGATCTCTTGGCCGAGTTTGAGGCCATTGTGCGCAACGAATTTAACGATGTACTTCCCGAACGGCTAAATGCCGTTCTGAAGTTCAGTTGACGTAACTTTGCTTTCAAAGAAGCGGCGTTGCCCGGTGATGCGATCACGGGGAATGGAAAAATCACGGTGGGGAGAAAACATGCCCACGCCTTTTCTTATCGTTATTTCTATCTTACTATCAAATTCTTTCAACAGAGTTGATGGGGGATTTTTAGGGGGGGTGGGGGGCGTAGTGCGTGCCCCACGGGCTCCCGGCTATGACATTGGTTCTAAGCTAAGGCTATTGCGGTCTGTATTGTCAACTTACATGTATTTCCATTTCATTTACATCTGATTTCGATCATAGTTAAACTGATATAGTAGAGTGTAACTGCCCAATCTTTGAGTGTCAGCTGAAACCTGAAGGGTTTAGTGTTGTGTTTTCAAGGAGGTACGCAGGTATCTCAATGTTTCTTCAGAGTTTATAGTAACAAACTTTGCTGCTTTCCTGATGAAATTTATCCTTTAAGTATAATGGCTTAAAAACGGTCTGTTGCAGGGATTTGCCTGATGTGTCGATTGTGAGGAAGCTGGAACTTGGCTAAATGACTGTTATTGTTTGTATGTAGAACTTTCAGTGTTGAAATGGAAAGCATAACTCGATGAGGATAGGATTTACCCCTGTTGTAGGGTTAGGTTTAGAAACACGAACAAATGAAGTGAATGATGATACATAAGCTCATATGATTCAACATTTTTGTGTTGAATGTCCGATAAAAAAATCTTTGTAGAATTAAATTAAGAAAAAGAAATTGCGAAAGGTGTTTGCAATTCCCACGTCCCGGTAACTTAAAAGGTACTGTCCATCATATGTCATTTATGCATGAGACCTACGTTCCTTTGATGCAACAAAATTACTCAAAATCTTAAAAGAAGACTGTCGACGGATGAAGTTTCCGTTCTATGAATACTGTACATTCCGGGAAAATTGAATATTCTAGGATTTGGATTTCAGAAGTTCCAAAGTCATGTTTTGAAATGCACCTGAATGAGGAACGTTTTCAAGTTCATGTCGAACACAGCTACGCGATGAACTTATGAATTTAAAGTGCCTTTCCATTATGTACGTTTTTGGCTGCGCTGCGTATGCGATGCGTTCGGGCGTTTCACCCGTTCCATGGGCACAAATTGCGTTCGGTCGTCAAAATCGCCCCCGGCCGGGAGCGATTCAAATGGACACGCAACGCTTGGCGCAGGTGTTGACGTGCATATGGAAAGTGGCCTTAAAAGGCTAAGGCCTTTGTCTAAAATGTCAGATGGTTTTCTTATATTCAACGAGAGTATAAATGTGTACCTAAAAATTTCTCGCACGGACCTTTGAAACCCCAACACCTCCATGACAAATTCCTAATAAGGCCACTGCTTGCGGTAATTACCTTTATTTCACACAAGAGACTGTAAGTGAATCCACTTGCAGAGTGACAGAACGTTAGAAGAAAGTTGCTAACACTGCATTGTGGGACGCATAAACAAAAGTGTAGGCTTAAATATACCTTTTGTAAAGTTCTGTTGTCTGAAAAGTGAGCAATTAACCTCCAAGTTGCGGTGTTTTTTATCGTTGCATTGAGCCTAGGTTTATAATTGGTTGTAGGTTAGAACTGTCACCGTCACGTGTAGATAATAAAGAGACTGGGATACAATTTTCACTTTTTACACGAAGCAAACAAATTATAAGAGTATTTAAGTGGCTACATTGTATTCAAATAAAAAGAAGTTAAAGCATCATTATATCGTGTATCGTATCACTTCAACAACTATTTTTTTCTTCACTGAAGACTATATAATAGCAGTAAATTGAGTTTACAGTTAAGTTTATACGTGAGGCAGAAAGCCCACGACATAGTTATGGATACATGGCATTTTGTCTGAAATTCTACAGTGGTCACGCTACATGTAACCATAGCCATTTAACTGAAATAACCAAGGTCAACAGCTCAAGGTACTTGTTTAGCCGCTGTTATCACGACAGGTCGCCCCTGCATCTTGCTTGTGGGTACAAGTGGGTCTCTCCCAGCAACGCGACAGGCATTCAGGCAGATGATTCTCGGTGCCTTTACACGCCAAGCCGGTCATGTGGACTGGACCTTCCCCCTCACCAAAGTAGGCGCCCAGCTTGGCCTCCTTGGCCCCAGTGAACCCCAGCTGCCGACAGACGACCTGGACGTCATCCATGTCCCAGTCACGGTCACAGATTGTTCCCCAGGTGTCGTCAAGGTAGATCTCTACGCGTCCACTCCAGGGATTGGGACCACCGACCAATCGAACGTTGCCTATGTGAGAAATTTAGAAAATATTTCAGAAGAGCAACAACCTTTCTTTTTAGGGAGATTTTTTTCAAATATTTTGAATAGTTGCTTTTGGTGTTGTTGTTGTTTCAATCTGGTTGTTGTCAGAAGAAATCAATCTACTTAAGACTGAATCCGCGCCATATTTCCCGTGTCTAACGACCGTTTGCGGATACACAACGTGGTGTACAAGGAACATGAGGAAAAAGGGCCACTATAAAATTGCCAGGAGTTAAGACTGTCTTCTAATGGATTGAATCTATTTGAAAAGCACTTTCCAAGTATAGTACCACAGTAATAAAGGCTTTATCTCTGAACTGAAAAAAGGCCAAATGTTAATGTAGGGAAGCGTGTTTTAGGGGACACCATGGTTTATTTGGCACGTCACCAAGCCCGTTAAAAATTCCCGCGAAGGAAGTGCGGTGGGCGTGCGAGTAATAACTGTAATCCTTTCCAGTGTGGGCACCACAGAGTGAGTATCTTGGGATTAATCTATTAATATGAAAACTAGCTTCTTGCATTGTAATAGCTGATTTGCTGTCTCTTCACCCTCGCAATCTATGATTCCATAGTGTGTGACCCGACTTGATGATTATTGGGGTCATAGCAGAACGCGGAATGAGTGATTTTGGAGTGAAGATTCACCGTCTTGAATGTAAAAGTTTAACGTGAAGCGTATATGTGATATTGCCATGTTCACTCTACGTTGTACTTCAGCTGTTTGTTTGTGTGGCGACTTGTATGATTTACACTATAGGGTTTCGATCTTTACTCCACACACTGTTCATTATTAGGTGCTGTCTGGAAGGCCAAGTCCACGGTTGTACACCGGCCTGGCATTCGGGGAATTTGAGGAAATTGGGAAATTGAGAATTTGAGTGATCGGAATTTGAAGAATCCGTGGAATATGGAATTTTCATGTAAATATAATAAAGAATAAAAGATTTAAATCGTAATTAACTGTGATCAAATCTAGATATTTCAACCCTCAAAAGTTGACATGTAAATAAAATTCTGTATATTTTGAGACAGTTACATTTGGACTCTTTCTGCCCATTTTCCTTGGCCTTGGCGTCCTTAAACTAATAATTTAAGCGGCACTCCTTAATAGATGGCCTGTCATTACATTAACTTTGGTTCGTTCACTGGCTTTTTATAAATAACGAAGATGGAGTGACAGAGCACTGGTCGAAAATTTGTAAAGACCGAATAAACTAACCTCTGAAGTCCTCCAAGGGAGTGCATCCAACCAGCACGTCTTCAGAGAGTCTCGCCTCAAGGTGAAACAGGACGTACTTCTCAAGTTCCGGGTTTTTGCCCTTACTGAATGTGGCACAGAGGTACCGCGCCTTGCCGCTGATCAGATCCTTTTCCACTTTGTACGTGATGTTCGCAATGACAAAGTTTGTCGAGGTATTTCCTCGCATCATCAGGCTCTGGGACTGCTGGTCTTCCGTCAGGACGTTGTCCATCAGGGTGCCTGGCAGCTTAACGGACCCGTCCTCGTGACTACTCAACCACATTGCTGTCTGCCAAAGGCCACGCCCAACGATGCTTGTGGTCTCTTTGGTGTTTGCGTAGGTTACTTTCAGGTTGACGGTGAGAAAGTTTTCTTCTCTGCCTGCCTGAGAGGATAGATCCCCAGAAAGCATTGGTGTCACACTGGTCACGGTTATATCTAGTGTACAAAAGGAGATTCACGATAAGTTCATTGTATAAAATTAATCATCATCTACGTCGAGGCGGACAAAGTAGGGCACGCTCCCCACCAAAAAGAGCATTTTTTTTTAATAATGAGATATTACTTTTTTTACTTCATTTCTTATTCTACAAAAGCCCCAATATACACAACCGGATATACCTCATGGAAGCATTGGCGTAACATTTTCTCCGGGCACTATCTACAGAGTAGAGGGGAACGCATGTATTAATTAGTTCCTGATTAATCAATACTATGCACGTCAGGACGAACGGCATTACTGAACAACGATAAAAATTGACAATTTATTGGTCTGGTTTGATTGCTGCGCGGTGAGTCTCCAGACAGCATTGGTGTCACACCGTTCACTGTAACATCTAAAGTGCCACAGGATTTAATAATCAACCAATCTCGCATAATCGCTACAAGGGCGGATCGGGGGGAGACTATGCCCCCTCCCAAAAAAGAGCTTTTTAAAAATGGTTTTCGAATCATTCGCCCCCCCCCCAAAAAAAGCAAGTTTTGCTTCTAAAGATTTGTTTCTGGATTTGTACTCTCAAATTCACACAAGCGGAGAAATTGAACGGTTTAATTTCGTCATCATACGATTTCGATTGTTTTCCAATCGAATTCATAATCGATTGAACAAAGATTTTAATTCTTGCATGACGTACAAGATCATCAGGCCAGACAATTCCTGTTGAACTAACGAAATCGATTGGACGAATGCCGGAAAAGATCATTGATCATTTAGAACGACAAATGACTACATTCGTCGAATTTGCGTGTTCTAGTCTTCTTGGGACGAAGTTGAAGTTAACCGAGTATGAAGTTGACCAAAACAACCTGAAAATGTGCTTTATGCAGGGAGATCTGGTTTAAGGCAAGTGTTAAACAAAGTAAAACTTTTTAGAAATAGTGCAAATTGTCCAACTTACTTGCAACGTTTAACTTACTTTAAATGAGCTGTTACAAACGCAATTGGTCAGAGCATGTGATACGCATTTGATCCGACTACTCCCCGCTATTAACAAACAAGGCCTTAACAAAGAAATGCCCCTGTTCGGAACGTAGACAAAACATATTATGGTATGACCTGACCGACAACGTGCTGAAATGAACTTTGTCCTTAAATAACAGAACCGTCAAGGCTAAAACTTTGGATAGTAATAAACCTTTCAAAACTGATCCGTGCCAAGGAAAGAATCTTAACGAAAAGAAAAAAAATACCCTCTTGAGATTCGAACCAAGACATCCACAATACTTAATTCTTTTCCTTACTCACTACACTACGCAAGCCCAGCTCAACCACACTCTGTCATCCACAAAACGACGTTTAATCTTCTACGTTTTTATAATACCATAATCTATAATACCATATAATACCATAATCTACTTCGGTTCTGTACCGAAAAGGGTATTGTTGTATAAGAGCGTCGTTTGTTTGCAGCGAGTATAGTCAGACCAGGTATAAAGCAATTGTGGCCAGACAGACAAATCACACATTAAGAAAATGGCTCTTCTTTGGCGACAAAGAATTATTGGCTACATTGCCTTCAACGCCTTGAACAATTTGATGGTAAAAGTGATACACTGAGGTCTAAAAGTGGCAGGATAAGTGGTAGAACTTACCGTATTGGCATACTCTGCAGCACTTGCCAGGAAGAGAAATTGGCTTGCTGCATGTCAGTGGTAGGCACGAGTAAAAGTAGCAGCGCAAAACAGAGTTGTCGCACGTGCAAGACGAACAAACGGTGTGCGAGAAGGTTTCCCCGTGAAGATACCACTGGCCGGTATTGTCTCTACAAGGCAACTTCGCGGGCGGGACTATTGTGAGGGGAAAAATTGGAAATTTAACTGTCAATATTAATATGCCCAGTGTATTAATATTAAACAACTTGAGTTCGGACCTCTAATAACTTGTAGGAAATACCTTTTTTTCCTATGCTGCTGAAAGCCGGCTCGTACTCGGCGCAAAAGTGAACACAAACGCAAAATTGTGACGTCAGATCAAATATTCCCGTTTCGAATTCGTAAAAGTTGAACACATTTGACCTTAGTGAAAGGTTGCTGCAGAGTTTTTATGAAGTCAAATTGCTTGGCTTTCGCGTTCATCTAAAGTGTGAACCGGCCTTTAATTCGGAGTATGAAGATGGATGGTTCACATTATCAGAAACACAAGTTATCTGTAATATCAACCTGATTTATCAAACCCAATGTTTTAACGATTCATTGTAACCCGTTAACAATTACACCCAATCAAAGATGACTCGTAATAGCTCACACTTCTTCAAAAGTCTTTATTTCGAAACAATTTGTCGACGCCAAGGGAGCATTATGCATGGAGACGTCAAGCCGAATCTTGAACCTTGCGCAAATTTATTGTGCTCCTTTCTGAGTTGATTACCCTCTGAAGGATGTTATTCAAAGGCAAATAAAATCAGGATGTGGAACAATCAATTTGTGCAAGGTTCAAGATTGCGCTCAAAAGGGAGTTGGGTAAGATGAGGTTTATGCATTGTACCTGGATTCAAGGCCAAAGCATTGTTGAAATTTGAAATTTGGAAGAGATCGAAAACGCCAACCTCTGCAACCCTCCAGGGGAGTGCATCCAATCAACACATTTTCCCTGGGTCGACCCCTCGCCGCAAAGTGAAACCTCCGGAACGACCTCTGTAGTTCCGGCTTATCCCTCTTGTTGAACTTCACACAGACGTATTGCGCCTCGTCACATTTGAGATCCGACATGTCCACGTAGTACCTGATTTCGCTAAAGAAGAAACTGGTCGATACCGCATCTCGTTCCAGCAGGTCCTGAGACTGATGGTCTTCCGTCAGGACGTTGTCAGCCAGAGTGCCCGGCAGTTCAACGGACCCATCCTCTTGACTACTCAGCCACATTGCTGTCTGCCAAAGGCCTTGTCTTGCTATGTTTGTGGTCTTGGTATTTGCGTACGTCGCTGTCAGGTTGACGATGAGAAAGTTTTCTTCTCTGCCTTCCTGGATGGATCCATCTCCGGACAACATTAGTGTCACACTGTTCACACTCACATCTATAGGGTGCAAAAGGAAATTCACGATTAGCTAAATACTGATCAACACAATGAGATCGCTCCAACCAAGTCGGGCATTTGTTATTGGAGTTTGTGGCCCAGTTCCGGTCAGAATGGCCCGTCTACGATACTGCAAACACGGTGGTGTTACATTGACACCCTTGGTATCCAACGTTAGAAACACCGGCCTGTTTTGCCTATACGGTCCAGATACTTATGTGGCACAGACTTGTGGTGCAAACGTTTTGGCATAACAGTTGACTTGTTTGTGCAAGAGTCATCTGCAGGTTCAAGGTAACTTTCGACAAGGTATATTGTCAACATGGAGTATTTATTGAACAAAGCATTGCTGAAATTCGTGAAGCGATTTGTAAAGAACAAAAGCACTAACCTCTACGGTTCTCCAGGAGAGTGCATCCAATCAGCACGTCTTCGGTAGGTTTCGCCTCGAAGTGAAACTCGAGGTACGACTTCTCAAATTCCGGGTTTTCGCCCTTGCTGAATTTGGCGCAGAGATACTGCGCCTTGCCGTCGGTCAGATCCGTCATGTCTACTGGGTACCTGATGTTCTCGATGAAGAAGTTTGTCGAGGTACGTCCTCGTTTCAGCAGGCTCTGGGACTGCTGGCCTTCCGTCAGGACGTTGTCCACCAGGGTGCCTGGCAGCTTGACGGACCCGTCCTCTTGACTACTCAACCACATTGCTGTCTGCCAAAGGCCTTGTCCCACTATGTTCGTGGTCTCGTTGGTGTTTGCGTAGGTTACTTTCAGGTTGACGGTGAAAAAGTTTTCTTCTCTGCCTGCCTGGGAGGATAGAACTCCAGAAAGCATTGGTGTCACACTGGTCACGGTTACATCTAGTGTACAAAAGGAGATTCACGATAAGTTCATTGTATAAATTAATCATCATCTATGTCGAAGCGGACCAAGTAGGGCACCCTCCCCACCAAAAAAACAATTTTTTTTAATAATGAGATATTACTTGTTTTACTTCTTTTTTGATCTGCAAAAGCCCCAATATATACAACGGGATATACCTCACGGAAGCATTGGCGTAACATTACCTCTGGGCACTATCTACAGAGTAGAGGGGAACGCATGTACTAATTAGTTCCTGATTACCCCTAACACTCCTCAGTCCTCCAACAGGTGAAGGATTAAGGAGTGTTAGGGTTAATCAATACTATGCACGTCAGGACGAACGGCATTACTGAACAGCGATAAAAAATTGACAATTTATTGGTCTGGTTTGATTGCTGCACGGTGAGTCTTGGAATCTGAACTCGCGTTTGACGCCAACAGATTCTCATTTTAACAAGTGGTTGCTTTTCCCAACAGAAAAAAAAGTCAAGAGTGATCCAAAGAGGGTTCCACTTTAAAAAAGAGATTGGACTGGGTTACAAGGCTCTCAGACACAGCTTTTCCCCTGCTTATTGATTCCAGAGAAACTTGAGAGACAGTTATCTCGCCTGGAATGCACCGATTCCGAGAGAAAGTTAGTGTAAGGGGTTTGACAATGGGTTCGAACAAGACACTCACCACCACAACCGCCACGCTTCGCAAAAGTTGACTTTCCCCTGAAATTTGTTCAATCGATCCGATTACCCTACACCATAAAAACCAGGGTAAGGAAGAGTATTAACCCTGACAGTCCTCAGTCCTCCAACAGGTGAAGGATTGAGGACTGTTAGGGTTAAGACCCTGGGACGCGGTTATGAATTTTTCCTTACACGGTCTCTGGACCGGCCTCGCCAGATGAGTCCGTATCATTTCTCAGGGTTGCAGAGCCCTGAGTCCGTCCTAAAGGTAAATAAATGCTTCAGTGGTTGTCCCCTAGTCTCTACAGCTCTTAAAAACCACGAAAAGTACATCACAGTACTGTGGGGGCGTAATTCCAGACTATCCCGATTTGGGAGGGGGCCTCGCCACGCGCCAGCCAAGCCACCCTACCACCACAACACCCCCCAACCAAAATAACACTTCAGAGACAGCCGAAGGAGGCCTCTGACAAGTTCCAGACAGCTGTCACTGATAAAAAACATTCCACTGTCTGCCCCCGGCACCGTTTTGTAAACAGTCCATTAGATTGTATACAAGGGGCCACTTAGCACAAGTCTTATGGGAGTTGGCTGGAGGCTGGCTGGACTTTTTTATTTTTTCTGGCTAGGGGAGGCCCTGGCTGTAAACCAGGTTCTTCAGCGTGTACAGGGCAGGATATGATAAATAGTCGTTGCATTTGGACGAAAAAAAAAATTACACGTTAATTAGCTCAAATGGACTCGCCAAAAGAGGCCGCTCACTCTTCCCAGGACATGACTGAAAAAACGGCCCATCATTTCGTCAGGGGGATCACTATTCGCCTGGGTGGACTATACTTATTTTTTCGTAATTTCGTCAATAATCCGCTCCGGCGAAAAACAATCTGCCCGGGCGAAATACTAATTCGCCCGGCCGGGCGAAGTGAGCGACAGAGTCACGTACTAAATACGCTTCTGTTCTGCTGACACTTATGAGTAAAAGTGACAACTTACTGAATGGGCATTCTTGGCAGCACCGATCAGGAGGATGAACTGGTTTGCTGCATGTTGGTGGGTGACAGGATTGCATCAAGCAAAGCAAAGTAGAATTCTGGCACGTGCAAGACGAACAAGGGCAAGGCGAGTAGGTTTCACCGTGATAAGAAATTCTGCGGTTGTTGTCTATGCACGGTAGTCTTTTCGGCCAGCCCTCTGTCAAAAGAACGCAAAGTGAAAAAAAAGATGCTTGATTACTTTCCTCGTGCTCATTTGGATAAGCCAGACTGCATTTGATTTGACACTCACGTGACTCTCAACGTTTTCTCGGGCCCAGCCTAACCGACCCGTTGAGCCAGGGGCTTGAGCAGTATCCTACAACGCGACACGAAAACATGGTGGCTTAGACGGATAACGTTGACAACAAATCAGAAAAACCGTTTCATGTCGGGGCATAGTTGGTTCCAGTCAAGTGAATTATGTAAAATAAATGCCAGACATGTGTAAGTAGATGTCGTTTGCTTTTGACAATCAAATTATTACTTCATATTACGCATGCTCGCCTAAACCTATGACGACATTATGCAGGTAAGCGCAAGTGTAAAAAAAATGAATGCACTCGTCGCAGACAGTAAAACGCTAGGCATATTCTCAACGTGTTACCCCACCATGTTGTTCTCCTGATATGAAGGTAAAAATTGCCAAATTGTATACAACAGTAATAGAAAATGTTATTTTTACCCATACTTTTTACCCAGTGACAGGCGCGGTTTTAAAGCTATGGGGGCTAGACCCTTCGGACGTGACTTCACCTTTTAACTTTCGCTAGAGCTTTTTCCTTTTTCGCATTTTTTCGGGGGGTGAAGCTAAACATTTCTAGGGGGGCCTAAATCCCCCTAGCGCCCCCCCCCTCCATGCCTTTTCCAGTGTAATATCTTTTTGCCTAACACGCGATTCACACGGGACCCATTGTTGGGCAAAAGCAGTTTTACAGTGTACAGCACTTTGAAACTAAACACCATTAACTTCATATTATTTTTTTTCTCTCTCTCTCTTTAGCCTCCCTCCAGAACACGCAAATACACGACACGAAGGTTCCCTTGCGCCCCGCCATCGAGTCGCACCGTCGCCTTCTTGCCATTACGTGTGTACACTCGCGTCGCGTCGTGTAGTTACTTCGCCTGGAGGGAGGCTGAAGAGAGAGAAAAATGTTTGTCGAAAATAGTACACCATAACTTTGTGAGAATTCCCTCAGGTGAGTTGCATAGATTCTGAAATTAAGAGCCGTGGCGGTATACATCGTTTGGGACAGTGCGCTCTGTCCTTTCCTTCCTTTCCTTATCGAATGCTGCAAACTTATTGGGTTGTCAGAGGCGTTGCGACCAGGGGTGTGAAGCTGCGGCACCCCCAAATAATTCAATCCAGTCGGCAAACAGAGTTTTCAGTCGGCAAATGAATCCAAGATTGGTACATAGGTCTAAACTGTAAGAAGTTGGCCGTCGGCATTTCTCGTGAAGCAAGAAATGTATAGCGCATCACGGATTTCCATTTTCCAAACTTTCTGAATTCTACACGTCATGAGGTTGGTGAACAAGTAACAAGTGGGCAAATTGACTTTGGCACCCCCCCCCAGAAAATGCCGTTGCTACGTCCCCTGCTGGTTGTGCAAGTCATTCTTGTATTGAAATGTTATGTCAATGAAAGTATTTTTAAGATTTGAAAAACTACCGTACCACTTCTGCTCCAACTTCCAGTGAAATCTTGTTTGCGCTGTTGCAACCATGTGGCGTAACTACAAGGGTTACGTGCCCTCCAGTCGATGCACGTTAACCCCCCCCCGACGGCCCCTCCCCCATTTGAAATTTGTGAATAAACTCCGTTGAGTTTATATATAGCTATGCAGCTACACCTTGTTTTCTTCGAGGTGCCCCCTTGAAAAATAAGTGAACCCAAGGTGTCCCCCGAACATTTAGCCCTATACGCCACCGGTTGTAACACGTGGGAATATTCTGCATGAAAACACGTCCAGTTGAATATTCAAGAATACTCGATGGCATAACAAAAATCACAACATATAACTAAGAATAGCTCTTCGGTTTGTTTCTTGAACTTTCGGGATATGCTCTTTCTACCTTACGTCGGACTTTTGCCTATACCAGTGGCTACAAATACTATATATACAGCTGTCAATCAGTTCAACACAAAAGAATTTTTAGTGATTGTTAATCAAAACACTAATCAACAAGCAATTTACTATGAAATACTAAATAAAATCGACCTGTTAAACGTAATGGCACAGATATGAGTGAAAATTTGATGCCAACCAAAAGCTGATAATTCCTTCAAACTTTTTACCACCCACATGCAGGCAATGAGGATAGCGGTCACGAGGCAGCCACTGTCCGCCTTCCGCCTTGGGAACTCAGACCATCTCGTCACTCACAGTCCCTCATCGATGCATCCGGCGCGGCGGGGCAGATGTTCACTGTGTCCTCGTTGCCAGTCCTTATATGCACAAACGACACGTTGCCCGAGCTATTACAGACTACTACAGACCCAGAAGAAAGTGGATGGCTGACCTTAAATTTAATTGTAATGCCGCATATTGTATCTGAACCACATACGAATCTGAATCTGTGTTCCTCAACAAACTTCACTGAAAAAGAGAAGGTTTATTATAATGCTGTGGTGCCAAAATCTTGACTAGTTTTCATTCAACCAATTAACGAAAGCTGCTCACTTTGTACATCCAGGCAGTGTAAGCTATGACATCAAACTAATACTAGAAGGGGCACTTTGATTGAACGTTCCTGAGCCTGAACTTGTCACGTCAAGGATGAACTTTTTACTTTAACATTTTCATAGAGATGGTAAATACTAAGTGAATCCATTCTTTGCGCTGGAAGCACATCACATAAAGACCAACTGAAATGCACAAATTTAAATACAATTGAAATTTAACGTATAAGAACATGCTCCTAGCTCACATAGATTAGGAAATTGGTTACGTCATTATGCATCTGCACATAAAAGCTAGAATTGGAAAGTGATGGCCGAGACACAGTCCCTGGGGCTAATTAACAGGCAAGGAAGAACAGGCAAGGAAAGAAATACTTCTCGGACCTCGGATCGACTGGCCAGCCGGTAGTCGAGTAGTTAAGACGTCTGCACGAGTGAGCAGCAGGTTGTGGGTTCGAGTCCAAACTGAGTGAGCTTGTGAATTTTTTACACAAGCTCTCGGACAAGCACTGAGTATGCAATATTTATAAATATAACCGTCGAGAAAGGGCAAAACCTGTGTTATAATTAAAAAGGAAGAAAACAGTGACTTTCCAATTCATTTGACCGCGAGTAATTCCTGATTGACTCTAGGCTGTAGCAAGTGATCTTAAGGGAGCTATTTCAAACTAAAATTGCATGAATTTGAAAAGGTCCATCAAGGCTATTTCGCAAAAATAGAATAACAACGAAGGTAACAGACAACGACCGAAGTTCCTGTGGTCACAATGTTCACACCGAGACGGTGTTTGGATTATGTCTTTTATGCTGAAAACAAACTGACTGGTTGTGAACAAGATGTCGAATAGCTCTGTGGATATCATTATTCTATATACTATGAAGTATCAATCATGACTTACCGTATTGACTGGAACTTGAATAACTTGACTCGAAGTCTTCATCACTAGACTGGCTCATAGCACTCAGAGTGCAGAAAACAACCACAAACACCACCAACCGAACTACTCGGTCCCCAATAAGGCGCTGCATACTCGGCTATGGAATTCGTCTGAGAGTCTGCAAGGAGACTCCAAGTCTTGCAAGCTTCCAAAACTTTGAAAGTGCGTGTTGTGGGAGTACCTTCGTTCCCTTGGTCTTTAAATAGCCCAGCGCGGTAAACAGCCCGATCATAATCATGAGTCAAGTTGGGTTGGCCCAAGAGCTCCCTTGGGTGTCGCAAGGGCCCTCGTTCATACGTCGAATGTGATCACGTGACCCCAAAACTCATGACATAAGTAATGCTTATGATATCCCAGGGCTTTACCCCACTGTTCGTGGAATCAGAACAACGAAATTGCCATGAAAATAAGCATTCAGAATGGGACTAAGGCCAAATTTGCTTCTTATTGTCAATAGTGACTTTTCTTTGACACTAATGAGTTCCAGGAAACATTAATTATTTGGGCAATACTAGTGATTTCGCGTTCCGTTTTTTGAGGGAAAAAAAGGAAAATACAATTCGCTCGCGAATCAAGACATCTATGTTTCCATGTTTCATAGTGAGTTCTAGTTTTAGTTAATTTTCCTGGGCATACAGTGGCGTAACCGTGACTAGGGCTACATGTCCAGGAGGCACACAATATTTTTTCAAGGGGGCACCAAAAGACAATGAGGTTGTTCATGGATTTCAAATGGGGGAAACCTGGAGGCACGGGCATTCGTAGTTACGCCACTGCATTTTAGAAAATCTCGCCATCTGTTGAATTACATCAACACATGTTCGATTTCATGTACATTAAATATTTACGGTCTGGTTAACAGTGGGGTAGTCTGGCTCCACTCGACGTGTATAAATCATAAGTCCGGTAGACAGCATGTCCGACGACGCAAGCAGGATGTATGTGACGTTATGTCTATGTAGGAAGCAGAGCACACTTACCTGCTTGTTGGAAAAGTAACCGTCAAAAGTTATGCTATTAGGTGGCAAGAAATATTTTTAAAAAGATGTCAAGAAAAATCACGGAAAGGTGTCAGAATCGTGGAAAATCAGAGAAGAAAAACATTTATACATCAAAGACGTATCTGAACATTAACAAAAGTATCCTAAAATTCACAAAAAAGGGTTATTTTTAGTTTTCGTATATAGGCCTAGTATTTTTTTTAAAAATTTTAATGTTTTATGTCGATGTGATATGACTTGTTTATTGTTTGTTAACCATAAATGCTCCTTATGAACAGAAGTGTTTCCTACAATAAGTGTCTTCACTTGAATAATCACACACGTTATTGTCACAATGTTGCTTGTGCTAGTCTGTTTCACTTTTACTATAAACATGAATCAATGGCTATACAAACAATGGCTACATGCGTTGTTCGTCACGCACAAGGGTTTACCCACTGCTAGCAGAGGGAAAGGTTTTCTCTGTTTTCTCCGAATGACGCCATCTACATTCAGAATTCGCATCTTGGTGTCACAGTGAACACAGAGAGAAAAAAGCCCTTTTAAGGTTGTTATAGTTGAACTCTGAAGACAAATGACACTATACGTTCAATTTGGACGCTTCCCCTGTTTATCTGAACAGATAAAATCAGAGAAAACATGTTTTCCTTATAGGTGCTCTTTAATCATTCAATTAACGAATTAATGTTCTCCCAGATTTCGGCATATGCACAGGCACACGTACAAACCGAGTGGAAGGGTGGAACGTATGCGTATGCTACGTTCAGTTACGAACAGATGCGATAAAACATATCAGATCCAGAAAAGGTCGGCAGGTTTCCAACTTGAAATATTGCCAAGTTTCCGTGAACTATAATTTATAATAAGTTTCAATTATTTCATTTCGACAATCTTCATTTCGAAGAAACCTCAGTGACGTTTGACCCTTCGTTGGCAAAGCCAGCCTCCGGGTGGTACAGACAAACAAGACAGCTGTGATAAATATCCCCACTTCAAAAATCAGGAAAATAACAAGTCGATGACGAAGATATTTCTTTCCATAAAAAATCACCCCTCAAAACAGGCCCATCGCTATTTTGAAAAAGGATGCCTACACACGAGCGCAAAATAAAGCAATTTGGAGGGCCTCGTTTGGTCTGATACTTTCAGAAATACAAGCTGGCAGTCCTGCCCCTGGCTTTCAGGCCTATTTACTGGCCTGCAACCTTAGTTCCCCCCCCCCGCTACACCGCTATGACCCTTACTGGTTGCCCGCTCCGGCCAAAAGACAAAGCTGAAGTTAGGCCGTGTCCAAATTACATTTTACTTGGCTGCGGCTAGAAATTACTCATGAGCCAGCGGTTCGCCCAACTGGCCATCATCGTATTCAGGGGTAACTTTATTTCCCACTTTCTTTCCAGTAACTTGGTTGCTATCAGTAATTCATCTGTAAACGCTGAAGTCTCGTATTAATTCATGATGATGTTATGGGCCATTCCTTTTCATTTCATCATTTTCTCGAGCATGAGCATGCAAAGCTCTATGTTTTTGTGGACCCCCTCTCCAGCTGTGAAATGCTCACTGGAAAAAGAAAAACGAAGCTGATATGCAAAGATGGTATTTGTGCATCTGGATATCATCATTATTCTAATTTTTTGTACACCCTGACGGCTGCTATCACTACTCAGACGTCTTGCTTACTGGCAATTAACACTTTTGTGAGTGATTCTAGTTCAAAGATAAAAGTAGTAAATATCTAAGACACACTATTGGGGCTATACGGCAGATGAACGGTTTAGCTACTCGATAGAAAGTGCATAATAAAACTTGCCACAAGGAATAACTCAGGGGCAATTCCGTATGGGAAATGAGAAAAATGGCTAATTTTAAAGTTGTTCAAATAGAAATTAAATTGACTGAGCTTTGCTTATAAATGTACACTTGGCATGGAGCAAAAAACCTTTTTTGAAAATAATGTTTGGTTTCCTGGAAAATCGAATTTGAAATTTGATATTCTTTTTGGCTTATATAAAGGACCCCTGACGCTAAATACTATACAATGTCCCAAATCCTAAATGCTTAACTAATCCCTCTGAATAGTGTATAATTGCAATGGTTTGGAGCCATACATGCTTGTGTCAGAGGCACTTCCTTCCTCTGGATATGGTACATGTACTTGGGAGAGAAAACTACAAAATTTGGGTTGGATTAGCTGTAATTCCGTTACAAAAAAGTTACAGAAGTTTTTCTCCTGGCCTCATTTCTTTCAGAATTATTCCACCATTGCAAATTCTCTTCCTTGATCTGCCTACTAATAACCTCAAACATTTTCAAACATAAATATTTACTCCTATGGAAACATTGGTAACAGAATTACATGGTAACGGAATTACATGGGGGAGCGGAATTACATTGCAGAATCATGTATGTCTTGAGGCTGTGTTTGGTCAAAGAGGGCAGCAATCACAATTATGTTTCTTTGTTTTACATGTACCACTAGAAGGCAGCAATTTATGACTTATTTAGATATGCACGTGGTAACCTCCTTCCATACATTGCACATGCATCTACAAGACTACAAATTGGGTGAGTATTCTATTCATTAAAATCCCCAGGAGCAGTTTCTTTTCACAATGGTAATCTCAATAAGTGATTACTTTAAAAGTACTTGCATCAATGATCATACTCATTACAAAATGCATTCTTTTGCACTTTTACTGAAGCATACTTAACATACTGCACACACATAGGCTTACTTGCAGTGTACATGTATGACTTGTGCTGCACTGATGTACTCGAACAAGCTGGTACACATAATTATAGTTTATTTCAGCATTATCTTATTTGATGTTATTATATGTATTCTAGTCTAAAGAGCTTATTATGCTATGAAGGCAACCAGGTGTAATAATTATGTAAACAGATTTTGTTGTTGACTATTTAGGCCTATGTTTGAAAAAGTACCACATAAAAAAGTTCGAGGTACTTGTAATTATACATGTGAATATAATGAGCCCAAGGTAATTACTTAAAATTATTTTTGAAATCCTATATAAAGAGGGCTCTTTAAAATAATCATTATTCATGTCAGCCTTTTTGAAGGGGAGTATATAAATGTACATGCATAGGCTATGTGCTCAATCTACAAGTAAACAGGGAGCGTATAAAGCAGGACCCTGACAAAGTTGAACAGGTGAGGGAGAAGGACAGAAACAGAAAGTCTGCTAAAAGTGCAAGAATGACTCCGTGTGAAAAGCTTGTGCAGAAAGAAAAAAAACCGAAAAGCTATAGCAATACATTGTGCTAAGAAAAAGGTGATGTCTTCACCTCCTGCAAAATGTGCACGCACTCCAGGTCAAATTCAATTATTTGAATTATGAATTTAGTGCATGTTCCATTCGGGTCACCTCAAGCCTTGGGAAAAGTCAAGCAGAAGGTGAAGGTTTTGCCACATTCTCCCAGGAAAAGAAAAGCAGTGGTTGAAGCACTCGTTGCTGATGTGGGGCTGTCTTCCAAGACCATAAAAATGCCAAGAACTGATGATGGTGAGAATAGTGCTGGAAACCGTAGCATTAGTGATGAGACAAAGAAAAAAGTAATTGATTTCTATTTGACAATATCATGGATGTGTCCTGGACAGAAAGACACATACATAATTCGAGCACCTGGAAAAGAAAAACAGACTGTACAGAAGCATTATATGCTCACTACACTCAAAGAAGCCCATGCTATATTTCTGGATGAAAACCCAACCCATCACATTTCATTTTTCAAGTTTGCTGAACTCAGACCAAAACAAGTCCAGTTGCAAGGGAACCTATCACACAACTCCTGCCTTTGCAAATATCATGAGAATGTGCGCCTGCTCTTACAATCCTTGAGTAAGGCAGGCCCTCAGATTCCAACTGATTTTCGCAGTTTTCTTACCCTGGTTGTATGTGACCAAAATAGTGAAAATTGCATATCAGGAAAATGTGATGAATGCCCAGGGATAGGGAAACTTGCTCCTCCTGATGACACTGCTGAGAAAAAATAAGTTGGCAGCAGTGGGATGGGAAAGCAAATTGACATGTGTTCGAAGGAACTGAAGCAGACTGCTTTCAAGTACTCAAAGAGCCACAGATGGATAGAAGAGAATTTATTTTCAACTAGGCACAAGTTTTGTTTATAAGGAGCTGCGGTTAACTAAAATTTAAACATGATTGGTACCTTACATACTGTATGTGCAG